CTACTCTTCAGAGGCAGGTCATCAAATCCGGTTCACACTTAAGGGGAGGGGCCCCAACTCTTGGTGGAAGGAGTATCAAACAATTGCGTACATTTTACAGCCAATACACTGGGTGTATTACTAGTACTGCTGTAAGAAAAAACCCATAAGTCAGAGGGCTTAAACAACAGAAATTTATTGTTTTATAGTTCTAGAGACTGGAAGGTCAAGATCAACTTATCAATAGAGTTGGCCTCTCCTGAGGCCTGTGAGGCAGAATTTGTTCCAGTTCTCTTTCCTTGCTCCTGGTGGCCTCAGTTGGCCCATGGCTTGTAGATGCCCATCTTTTCTCTGTGTCTTTATATTGTTTCCCTCTGTACATATCTGTGTCCTTATCCAAATTTCCCTTTTTTACAAGAACTATTGTCACATGAATTAGGACCACCCCTAATGACCTCATTTTAACCCAATTACTTCTGTGAAGACCTTATTCCAAATAGGGTCACATTATGAGGCACTGGGAGGATTTAGACATATTTTGGGGGACACAATTCAACCCACAATTCAGTCAGGTAACATTGATGTCCTCTGCTGCAGGGACTATACTTTTGAGAACCTCAGGTCTAACCCCCACTCCTGGAACCCTTACACTAATGAGAAATGTAAGTTTTCCAGCAACTAAAGGAACTATTGAGCATCAAAGAGTAAGTTTATGGCAGGGTTCAGGTAAGAACACTGTTTTTTAAATCCACATTTAGTGCATTTTACATGAACCACACAGTGTTGGGTCATCTTTGATCAAAAGTCCTCTGAAGATCTCAGTTATATGTGAAATCCATTAGGCCTTTTTGTTTTTTCTAGGCTAAGATTCTTCATATTGATCCACAAAGCTCTGCAGATAGTGATGTTTTCTAGGAATCCTTTAAAGGGTGTGTGTGTGTATGTGTGTGTGTATTTTATGGGGACTATATCATTCAGCATTTAAGCTAACGAACTGGTAGGAAAAGAGAGAGAGGAGAGGGCGGATAAAGGATAATAAAGAACAGAAGAGAAAATGAGATGAGAAACACAGGAAAAAGAAAGAAGTTATACCAATTTATATATACTATTGCCATCGCTTGCCACTTCCTTCAATGGGAGTCAAGGTGGGATGGCAGATGAAAACCAAATCTTCCTGTTATGATTATCTATAACATGTTTAGAAATTCAATAATAACAATAAAACAAGCACCTCTGTGTTCACTGGTCTTCTAAAGATAAGAGCACTGGCAAGGGTATTGATGTTCCTGTGTGCCTTGTTCATAGATATAAATATCCTCCTCCCTGGATATTTACTATCCTGAAGTTTGGGGTTGTCATTCTCTTGCTTTTCTTTATTGTTTTACTGCATATAAATAAACCCTTAAACAACATCTTGTTTAGTTTTGCTAGGTTTTGAACGTTATGTAAGTGGAATCATGCCATGGAAGTATATGTGACTGTTTTCCTTCCTCTTGGTGAGACTCATCCATATTCATCTGAGTAGTTGTGGTTTATTCACTGTCATTTCTCTATAGAGCTCTTAACCATCCATCTTCTTATCAATAGATAGATACTTGTTGTTACAAAAAGTCTTATATATGTCTCCAGGTACACTGCAAAAATTTCGACAGGTATATACCTAGGAATGTAACTGATGGATTGTAGGGTGTGCTCACCTTAACTTTAGATCATTGATTAGTAGGTTGATTTCAAGATGGCTGTGCCAACATACACTCCCACCAGCAGCATCTAATAGTTCCTGCTGTCTCACATCTTAGCAACACTTGTTGTCATTCCAACATTTTGATTCTCCTTATGTTTACCTTACAATCTGACTTTAGAACCAAACTCTCACATTAGATGTGACTCTACCATATTGGACTTTTGGGATTTGATGATCACGATACCTAGGATGCTTGATGCATATGCCATAGTAGGTGCTCAGTATATTAGAGGAAAATGAAATGAATCTAAGCCATAGATGTTTGGTGAAATTACAGATCTTTTATGTTTAAATGTTTATCAGCACATTCCTGATTCTAATCATTCCTTCTGTCTACAAGTTATGTACCCAATGTCAACCTATAATGGTGTATTTGTTCCCAAACTCAAGCTACACAGAAAATTTAATGCAGCAGTCCAGGTGTTGACCCTAGAAGTGGGAAATGTATCACATTTGCTTTTCTGTAATCCAATAAAAGACTGTAAGATGAATTTTAGAGGGAAAAAAAAGAATAAAACCTCCACAATTTCTAACCTAATATCAGTACTTACATAGTTCTTGTATGTTCCAACATACTTATTTTTAAAATGTTATAACATTCCCCCAGTGGCTACCCACCCCACTTTTACGTCCCAGGTGGGCATGGCACCCCTAGAACCTGCACACCCATAGCCAGGAGCCTGAGGAGGCCCACTTTCAACTCCTATCCTTCTTCCTTGATCAAAACAGACAAGGGGGGGGGGCGGCAGCGGTGTGAGTACCTGTGAAGATGTTTTTACATGCAAGAGGTCTGCAGTGAGCATTGGCTACTAGGATGACCCCACATCCAGCATCTTGTGAGACTGTCTGTCTAAAAGATAGGCCCCAGAAATTAACAGAGAATATTTTGCCCAAGTCCATGGCATTGGTCAGTTTACAGAGCCATTTCTACAGATGATAGAATGTCACTGTCACATTTTAAACCTTGGGGCAAGGATGGACACCACCTTCTGAATATTAAAGAATCAATATCTTCTCCCAAGTAAATATTCTGAAATTGACTTTCCAATGATAGTCACAGGAAGGCTGCACAACATCAAATTCAAGCCTCTCCTATCAAACCCATTTTAGAATTACATTCAGAGGACACATTTCAAATCAATGGGCACACAGATTCAGAGATATGCCATAACTGGAGCAGATCTTCAAGATTTACCTTAATTGGAAGGGAAACTAAAGAAAAGTAACATGAATACACAATTGCGACACTCTTGATAACTGACAGTGTGCTGGTCTACAGGACTCCAGAATAGTCTGTAAACCTTATCAGGTAGACAGCCAACACTTTTGGGACTGCCACTTTTATAACTACAAACAGATGAACATGGATGACTGGTTTGGGCAGGTCAAGACTGAAAGCCAGCAGAGATGACACTGTGACCTGGCAGAGAAGGAAACCTCAGGAAAAAAAGGCTCCTGTTGAATGGGTAGGAAACAGCATCAGCCACGAATATAATGGAATTGTACAGCAGAACCGAGCCCCTTGAGTTCCTAGATGAAATGGAGCTTCTGGAGCAGCTTATGTAGCATTATTACCTCTGCTGGACTACTAGCAGAGGAAGGGGAGCTAAGTTTGAAGGAGATCACTTGCGAATCTGCTCAAGGCTCCTGCTGAGCAAGAAACTGCAGCCACTGATCTTCTCAAAGCTATTATGCTTAGTTTCCTGAGTGAAGGCCAGGTCTCACCTACCACTCCATCCCACACTTGAGAAACCTGGTACTAGGGCTGTCGAATCACTTCTTGTTCCTGTTGACTTTATCATTTAAATAAATCTCAGTTTCCAATGGAATAAAAATGGTATAAACTCTGCTTCTATATATTCTACATACTTATCTGATTGTTTTCTACTTGGTTAAATTTCCACAATTAAGTTCAAAATTTTTATTACAATATATAGGAGCTGTTGTTTAAAGACATCTATTTTAATAACCTATAAAGTTTCATTCCCAAATGCTAGTTCATGGACCTCTGTCAATTTCTGACGAAAGCTTCATTAGCCTGAAAGGTATTAACAGAAAACAACAGAGTGAGATTTTTGTACAACTAAATGCATCCATTTAAAGTACTGCTCTTTATTCTGAGACTATGTTAGTTCTACCTTTTTAATGTTAAAATGGTTTATGTTTTAAGAAATGATGGTGATAGTACATGGCATTTATTTGACAACTCTATATAGCCTCAAATTTTCTTTATGTTTGTGTTTTAATTTTACTGATCCTTCAAATCTAAATGTTCAGAAATCCTTTCAGAGCTCCTTACCACTTCATTTAACATGTATTCCATGTAAAGCAACTTGGGAGTTATTTTCAGGAGGACACAAGTCTCAGAAGGCAAAGTATAGTCATCTCTATTTAACACCTATTTATTTAGTTCTGATTGGTTTTCAAGTAAGGCTTAGTACTAACACTATGGGGAGTGACATGCAAAGATAAGTTAAGACAGCATTTTGTCCACACGGGTTCTCGGTTTATCCTGTTAGCACTATACAGTTATAAAATATCTTAAGAGCCCTAACCAGTGTGGCTCAGTTGGGCGTCATTCTACAAAGCGAAAGGTCGCCGGATGGATTCTCAGGGCACATTCCTGGGTTGCACATGCGAGAGGCCACCGATCTATCAATGTTTCTCTCTCACATGGGTATTTCTCTTCCTCTCTTTCTCCCTCCCTCGCCCCCCTAAAATAAATAAAATTTAATAAAACAAAGTAAGAGTGAATGGTTGGAACCCAGTGGTTTAGCAGTTGCTGGAGGTCGGTTGACCCTGAAAAATGTGGAAAGGCAGAGGAGGGAAACCCCATGATACGAAGGCAGACAGGAAACCTTGTGTGAGGAGAACAAGAGTGCGCGAGCGTGAGGCAGACAGAATGGAGAAGGAGGTGCGGGCGGGCTTCACAGACTCCCCGGTCCAGGGAGAGCCAGGTGAAGAAGGCGCTGCAGCAGTTGTGGGAAGGGATTGCTCGTAGAGTCACGTGGAAGTCGGTAACAAGGGGGATTGGAGAGCGACTTAATTCAAGTGGCGCACAAGAGAAAAGTGGCCAAGATGAATGAAAGACCCTACTTCTCCAGCAGGCTGTCAATGGGTGCCAAGGGGTGGATCGGACACAAACCACAGGCTCAGGAGCTCTATCAGCCGCCTCGGACCGCAGTACCCGCCCCCTGCTTCAAAGTTCTCGTTAGAACTTCCAGATCTCGGAACCCAGCCTACCAGCGCCTGCGCAGTTCCCAAGCCCCGCCTCGCTGCCCTCCGGCCCGGGCTTTCCACAGCCAAGATGGCGGCCCCCTGTGTCTCCTGCTGCGCCTTACTTTCCTATCGTCTCTTTTTCCGGGGCAAGGTTAACTTGGCTCCGAGACAAGTCCTCTGGAAAGCCGCGGCTGCAGAGTTGCCGACAGTTTCCGGATCCCAGGTAAGGCCTGAGAGAAGGGAAAGTGCTGGTCCCTGTAGTGCGAGGATATGGAGCAGGCGCCACCACCTTCCCCTGCTGTCTCGCCAGCCCTCAGATATGTACCCTTCGGTAACAGATACTTAGTAGAGTTCTGAGGTTGAGAGCGGAGAAGAGGGTATTGGTTTTGAATGGCCACTCTGGAGGTTGTTTCGAGGGTTTGCAGGGTGCAGGAGGGACTAGAGCGACCCCTTTGTTGACTGGCTGCCAGGAGCGGCTGCGTAGGTGTGGTGTTGGGTCCAGTCCTTCCCGCCTCCGCAGCCGTCCAGGAGGGAGCAAGGACCGCGCTATAGGGAGTGAATGAGACTTGGACTTTTACAGTGGCTTGGAGACTTAGCGGAGAAGTCACACATTGGAAAAGACAGACAGTGACTTTTTAAAGTGTCTTGCTTCTGTGTAGTTTCTGTTTTAATTTTCTCAAAACTTTGTGGAGAGATGGGGACCGCGACCTGAGCATTTCATTTAATCCTGAAGGCAGTGGGAAGCTGCCTTCTCCTATGGTGGGTTGATGCCATGCATGCAGTTCACTGACGTGGGATCTCAAAAGGAGGAACATATTTGAGATGGTAGAAAACGAGTTTAATTTTAGATATAATTATATTTCAGGCATATGTGGGATGTCCAAGTGGAGATTTCCAGTAGGTCCATAGTTAAGAAAGACTTGTAGTTTAAGAAGATAACTGATTAACAAGTCCAGTGTTACCTTGTAGGTGATAATTGAGGCCTTGGGAATGAGTTAGGTCACTTAGGGGAGGGTGTACTGCTGAGTGAGGAACGAGCAGAGGGACAGGGCGCTAAGGACAAACAGTCAAGGACGAAGAGCCCCCCAAGAGATCGAGAATGAGCAGAAGTGAAAAAACTGGTGTCATGGAAAACAGGAAAATGTTTCAAGGAGGGAAAGTGATAAGTATTACCAAATATTGTGAAGTCAAATACTAGGATCTAAAAACTACGTTGAAAAAAAAGAACACTGTCATTTTTCTATTTCTTAAATATTTTAACCTAAATCGACCAATCCTTTCATTTATCAAACTTTTCTTGTCATTATTTTTTATTGAAAATATTCTAGAAAAATTTTTTGGATCTCATGAATAGCTTACCTGTATACACACAGTTATCTATAAAAGGGACTATAGCATACAGAATATTAGAATATTTTTATGTTTAAGTGTGTGCCAGTGTGAGGAGTTGCTAACTTTCCCTTCCTGGAACTCCTGAATCTGTATCCTCCATGTCTTTCTCTATCTTTCTTTTAGTCATACACAAAAATACATGCATATGCATACTTTTTAAAAAATGGATCCCATTGTATTTTTTTGCTTCTCTAATTACATAAACAGTAGAAATCCCTCCAAGTCACCTATTATGTATCTGACTGCTGTCTAATATTCTATGGTATGACTGTATCAAAGTTAATTAACAGTTGATGGGAATTTGCTTTGTTTCCATTTTCTTCCCACTAATAAGTTCTCAGTAAACATCCTGCTATAGTTTTTAGGTACTGATAGTTTTATTTCTGTGGGAGAGAGTTCCAGTTTTGAGGTTATTGCTGCAAAAGATGTGTACATCTTAAATTTTAATAGATATTCTTATATAGCTTTCCAAAAAAGGCTGTAGAAATTCATATTCCATCATTGGTGTATGAGTGTACCCCTTTTGCTACCTGCATTAGGTATTATTTCTTTCAATAAGATGGATGAAAAACGATTTCTTTGTTACTGTAATTTTCATCTCCCTTACCATTCCTGAAATAAAGCTTTTTTAAAACCATATGGCAAGTGTTTACTGAGCAATTTACTTGAGCCAGACACTGTGAAGTAAACAAATCATAGTCAAACAAATAATCACCAGGCAGTATCAACCCTTAGCAATCCCAAATTCCTGAATACCACCACAGCACGTGTTTAACCAAATGAGGTACAGTTCAGATATAAGTGAAAGACTTAACTGACCCAATCAGGCCCTTAATGATTCTTAAATATTAGTGCTTCTTCACTTCCATCTCTAACCTTAATACATAGTTATATCTCTCTCAAGGGCCATGTTTCATAAAACAAAGTTTTTATGAGTGGCTAAAACACTATGTCTGTGTTTTTCTGGGGGATGGGGTGATCATAATCCATTATTTATGAAATTTCTTCATAGCTTAGAAACAAAGGAATCAGAATAATAATAAAGTGTGTTTCATACAGAGTAAGTATTTTTGCATTTTTTTATATGTGTAAGTACTAGGTGGAGATATAAACCGTAGATAGTACTGTAGGTCACAGTGAGAAACATGTAACAAGGAAAAAGAAACAAGTTTTGTTAAGCAATGACTTCGGGTGCTCAGCTAGGACCCTCCTTAGCAGGTATCCTCTTGCATACTAGTTTTGTGGCAAATGTGTCATATTAATGCTGACATATAATTGCAAATATCTGAGTGTTCTAAATTTGGGTGGAAGAGTGCATCTTGCTTGTGAATGGCCAGCTTTTCAGATTATAAACCCATGACTATCAAGGATCTACATACAGTGGACTGTGAGATTTACAGAGGTGAATACAGAAGAGCACAGAGTGCAATGCGTAGTTCAGAGGAGTTGTAATAGGTAGAGTGGTGGACAGCTTCTCAGAGGAAGTGATAGTGTCATCGATAGGAACAAGTAGGAGTTATGTGAAAAAAGACATATTCTCTTCTAGAAAGATGCAATAGGTACATGAGGGACATAAATGTACAGAGTCTGTGGGTTCGGGTAACAACAAATAACTGGTTATAGCAGTTCTAATTGGTATAATAATTGGTGAGAGATGAGATTGGAAAGTTTGACCGGATTCAGGTTATGGTCTGTTTTGCTATGCTAAGGAACTTGAATTTTTTAATCTCTCACAAACTAGATTATTGTGTATGTTACTAGCATTTTACAGTCATGATGTACTACAAAGGTTACCCATGAATTCTTAAATCATATATCTATATATTTAATGTAGGAATGCTAATTTAGCTTTCTGTAATATTTATGACTTACACTAAGGGAAAGCAAAAATTTCTATTTTGAAAGGTATTGCCACACAATCTTGATAATATGTCCTCTTAACTTTATTTTCTACTAAGCACTTTCTTAGTGCTTAAATTTTCCATTTTTACTGAGCTAATATGTCCTTGTTGAATTTGACTGTCTGCCAGAGAAAAATGATTGATGGCGTTTGGTGACTTAGCCCTTGTATATTTTGGTTGTACTGTAAAAACATTGCTGTCTTTGTCTTAAGTATCTATTCTTATCTCTCATCTTATGGGCTCCTGGATGTTGTAATATCCTGTGTTTATCTACATTTTCTTTAATCTCACATCTGTCTTAACCTTTTCTTTTATTCCTCAAACTATTTTTTCCTCTTCTATTCAAATTAGCAGGAGATTCTTTTTGTTCCATTTTTTTTTATCCAATTGATCAAAAGAAAACTCCTTAATACTTCTCTTAATACCTTTAAAGTCATGTGTAGCACTGGCATTTAGCCAGATTTGGGACCTTTGTCAGCAGGTGTCTGCTTCTTTGACAACCTGCTTGATTGAAATTATAGTTGTCTGACCCACTGATTATCTTCAAAAAAAAAAAATCTGTCAAGTTGTATATGTACAATTCCACAAAAACAAAGTCTGAGGAAAATTCTCTGTCACAGCTTCTCAGTTGGAAATAGAACCTGCTGGAAATTTTGTTAGGAGTTGTACTTAACAGTGGCAAAGAGATTCTCTCCAGGAATTATTACTGTTCTCAGCTAAACGTCTGGTTGTTTCACATGCAGCCTCATCTTACTTGGTGGTTTCTACTAATGAATAATGGACTCCTTTAAATGTAAATATTTTTGTGTGAATTCACTTCTGAAGTAATTCATAACATTTAATATATTCAGTAGTCTGATACTGATGCTTTGATGGCTTTGTAACTTTAATAAATATTACTAATTTCCAGAATGGCCTATTCTTCCACAGTATGTACAGATGTCTTTGAAAAGATTCTAAAGATCCTAACTAAAGATATTGTCTGAAAAATAGCAAATTAGGAACATGTTTTTTTAAGCCTTTATGAAAATAAACATTTTACAGATTTTTTAAAAATCTCATTTATGTTAAACGTACAAAAGCTGCCACCTCATGTTACAAACTCCAGAGAATATAGATAGACAAAAAGTAATTTTAAATCAAGTAAAGAAATGTTTTCAAGCCAATAATCAACTCTTTTATTTGAGATGATGCTAAAATGTTGTAGGAACAAAAGAAAAGGAGCAGTGTGTAAAAGAGAGATGAAGAAAATACAATGAAGATGAAGAAAATACAATTATTCCATTTTGTTGAGAAAATACAATTTACTCAACAAAAAGGAATAATTATTTTAATTACTTCACACTATCAAAAATATTTTATAAAAAGGTCGGATGAGGGAGCATTCTGTGAAATGGGATAAGACAAGAAGATATGATTAAAAGAAACTGTTAAGGAAAGAATTTTGAAGATAGATCAGTGATATATGGCGCAAAAAACTCAGGGTGACTGCAGAATTGACACTGCACAAAAAGGAATAATAAAACCATGGAGTAAAGGTTTAAAAATCATACTTAGCAGGAAAAAAGGGTCAAGAAATAAGACTAAGAGAGGCAGAGAGAGAGAGAGAGAGAGAGAGAGAGAGGGAGATGTATATATGGAGAACAGAATAATAGATAATTACTGTGGTTGAAAAAGAGAACTGAGTAAGTTCATCAGTGTGTATTGCTTTATTGCTAAATGGTAGGAGAAATACATGTAAACATTTTACCAGAGACATGGATAATCATTAGTAAAATAAAAGCAGGCTGTATGTTGTCTAAATTCCCAAATCAAAAGATTAATTTTAAAAAGTACAGGCCATATAACAAAAGAAAGAAAACAGGAAGGAAGCATAAAAATATTAAAGATAAAATACAATTAAAAATTAGACAATATATATTAAAGTCCATTTATTTGGGATATTCTCATGAATTTATTTTTTAAAAACCCCTCAAATTGGGTCAAAAGAACAAAACCTAAAGTGACTCAATTTAAATAAGAAAAAAATGGGCAGTGATATTCCAGGGAAGTGCAGATGGGAGTTTAAAAGTGTTGCAATATTATTATCCAGCAGAATTAAGTTCAGGATAAAAAGTATTGCATTTAAATGGAACACTTTATAATGCTGAAGGATACAGTCTGTCTTCAGGTAGAACTCCTGAACTCAACAGTGCATTCAGTATCCCACTGAAATATACAAAGGAAATATATAGGAAGCAAAAAGATAATTGACAAAGAAAATATTACAGATAGTGTATAAGTATAGATTCCTGTTTCTTTGGTATTATTCTCTTTGTCCAGATAAATAGCTACTTAAATTTTTTTAATTAATTTTTTTCTTTAATTATTCTGTCTGCCCTTTACAGCCACTCTTTGGATATGAAGTATTCAGTCTATCAAACCTGTCATTCCTTAACCTTCAGACCATCTCATGTTCTGTTTCACAAATTAGTGGCGAAAGACCTAAGTTTCCTTACTCTTCCACCGATTCTGCCTAACAAACTGTTTTTGCTTCTTTGCATAGAAGATATGTCTCTCATTCTAGCACTAATGCCTACCATTTCCCCTTTTCTTGTGGTGTCAATATTGTGTCCTCTGAGACTGACTGACTGTATCTCTAGCTCAGATCTCTCCTGTACCTCACACACTCCTAGACCCCTCTCCTGAGATGCCTGTAAGGCACCTCAGACTCATCATACCAAAAGTGAACACATGGCTTTCCTGCCTAATGTCCCTCTTCCTCTAGAATTCATTAGTTCAGGGAATGGGAGCAGTGTTCACGGGAATACTCATTTTCACCCTGTAGGGGCTGGGGTTGATGATTGGTGGGAGATGTAGTGGATTTACCTGTATTATGAATGGATTGTTTTAGCTATGTACAGAAACGTTTGTCATTATTTACAAAACCAGTAGTGTAATCATCGTTTTGGCAATGGAACATTTAGGAGAATTACCTCTACTCTATGGCTGCTGCTTTTCTTTCCCAGGTTCATACCTTTGCCATGTTTCTTGGGGCGGAAAAACATTTTCAGTTTAAGTATGGGAAGAAACTTTCTCCATTGTTCAAAGAAGATAAGGAATCATAAAAAATACAAAGAAAAGCCTGGAAAAGGTGAAAACAAGAGGGTAAAACTATTGAGATGGGGAATTGGTGTTGGTGGCACTTGGCTGTGGGGAAAAGTAGCAGGAGTGTAAAAACAGTTTCTATAAAAGGCAGGCTAACTATATACATAAGCCAGTTCTGGTCATGGTTTTACTTATTATTAATAATTGTGGATTCATAATATAAAGAGGAACTTCTCTGTGCTTTCCTGAGGAAAAGCAAACTGTGAGGTTTCATGGCATTTTAAATTGCCCTTTCTTACTCATCAAAGAGTAGCAAAAAACTATTTCATCACTATTTTAGAAGAGTTTAACAATATAATTTTTACTATTAACTGGATATTTTAATATTTGTCTTGTATTTTTTCTTCCATTTTCTAGTGTAACTGGTTACAAATTACTGTAGAGTTATTTGAATTTCTTGATTCTAAAAGGGGTAGGGAATGGATGAGGGAGGGATGGCGCTGGTGGTGGTGTGTGTGAGGGAGAGATTTATGTTTATGAAAAGGGAAATGAATGAGTTACTAAGTCTGAATATTGCTTAAGAGTTTTAAAATTGCTGAGGCAGGGATCAGGTTGAGAACCACAAGATTTAAAATTTTAAGAAAAGCCAGGACCAGAAAGACCTGTTCTGGTTCTCTCAAGCTGCTGAATACAACTGAATGGTCATTTGGAAACATTTTTCTGGTTTTTTCTTTTATTGCAGGTGAAGTATTAGTGCCTTGGAGGGGTATTCCTAGTGCCACAGTATAAAAGGATCTATAGCAGCAAGTGTGATATCATTACAGATAGTTTAAAAGGATGTGAAAGCCCTTATTTCTACATAGCATAATTGAACCAAATTAATACCAAGAAATTGTCTTACTGCTTAGTGAAACAGTTTCTTCATTGTGTCAGCCTAAAATAAGGACCATGTAATAAAGTTTCAAACTAAGCTACACCTTTTGCTTTAAGACATTTAAAAATGGGCTGCATTTGTACCCTATACAAGGTGAGTGCCGTGTATTTTAAGGGTTCTGTCCAAGTACTTGTCCCTTTACTCTCACTTCTGCTTGCTAGTTTCTGTCTGCAAGTACCTGTCTCCTTTTAAGGGAGTGGCACAGGCACTCTTCATTCCATGTGTGTCAGATATCACAACTAGCTGAAGTCGCTCAATGGGTATCAAATATGCATGTTTGTAGTAGAAAGGAAGTGGCATATCTCTTACAAGTATTTATGTTTTTCATGTGTTGAAATGCTAGTAGTTTAAACTACTTTGTAAGCACAAGCTTTAAAAAGCAAGCTTTTGAGCTGGGGACAATTCTAAGAGCTTTCTTAACAGGCCTTTTACTTTGTCTGCAGACTCCTTCCAACTGAATACCATAAAAAAGACAACTGTTTGAATATCCTGTTTTCTTTAGCACAGTGGCCTACAAAATCATTCATTGTTTAATGTAACTTTTTTCTTTTCTTTTGTATTTTCTGCTAGATATCAAGGCTAAGACATACTACAGTTTTAACAACAAAGAAAAATGTTGCGGCCTTAAGACGTGAAACCTACACAGTGGATTTTATTAAAAAGCAGATTGATGAGTTCAACATAGGAAAAAGACATTTAGCCAACATGATGGGAGAAGATCCAGAAACTTTTACGCAGGAGGATATTGATGTGAGTACAGTACTCTGTTGAAATGTGATTACTGCAGGGGTGTCCAACATTTTGGTGTCTTGGGGCCACACTGGAGGAAGAGTTGTCTTGGGCTACACATTAAATACATTGCAACATGTAATCACAAAAAAAATCATAATGTTTCAAGTACATTTATGATTTTGTGTTGGGCTGCATTCACAGCCATCCTGGGCCACATGCAGCCTGCAGGACGCAGGTTGGGCAACCCTGCTAGAGTTTTAGATATTGAAAACACTGTTCTCCAGCCTGAGCCCTTTAGCTCTTTGTAAACTTTAATGAAACAGTCAGAATAAGGAAAATGCCACTGTACTGTGGTTTCAAAGAGAGATGCTACTCTGTATTTGAAGCATAATAAAGTATGGTGAGTTTTAGATTTTTACTTGAAATGGATACTTTCTTTGATTTAAGGTCATAGAAGCCACTATGAATGCTTATGCACAATTTGGAACTATTTATATTGTAGTGTAGACTTAAATTTGGCTTTCTTACAAAATGATAAAACAAATGCTAATGAAAATATAGTCAGGTTTATAGGAAATCCCATAAGTAAACCTAAACCCAGAGTTTTTATCAACTTAACTATATATTTGAATTTTCAAAGTGAGGGCATGTTCTCAGTGATTTGAGAATGTTACGGACAGGAAAGCTGACCCAGGACGGGTTTGCCTAGGGCCATCTGGTAATTTGTAAGTTCTTGGTTTCGTGTAGGAAAGATTTCACAGCATGAGTCCAGGGGACAGTAAATTTGGGGACAGTAAAACAAGGAAGAGGCTAGCATAGAAAAAGCAACAGGAGAGCCCAGGCTGGGCTGCCTTAACTCACTGGGGAGTCAGAGAAAAGAGGGCCTGGGGGCCAGGTTCAGGGGGTTAGCCTGGGACAAGCTCCCACTGCCCATTGCTTCCCTGGTTGCAAGTCTCCTGGGGACCCCTAGACTTTTGGAGATGCATTCCTGTGGTGGAATAAGAGGGGAAAGGGAATGGTGCAGGCTGCTCCCCAGAGGGAAAGAGCAAGCTGGGTCCTTTGTCTTAAGGCTTTTATCTTTCTCTTGCAGGTGGAAATCTTGGGGGGAGGTTTCAGGGGAGGGTTTTAGCAGAATATTCATCAGTTTTCCAGGTGAGCTCTTTCAGGGTCATGGTCTCCACTGATTGGTCAGTGCCAGGGCAGGGGGGCCATTAGTCATTTCACCCAGATAAGTTCTGCCATTGCCTACCTGGTTTTGCTGCTTTTCTCTGCCTGGATCTGAATACAACTGAGACCTAGATGTTATATCTAAGGGGGTGTCTTTCTGTATCTGGCTGTAAATTGCTCTGCTAGTTTGTTCAGCTGTCTCTCTCACTTTTCCCATTCTACTTGCCAGTGAATTTTCCCAGAATATTTATTTTTAGAGACGAAGAGAGGGAGAAAGAGAGGGAGAGAAATATCTGTGTGTGAGAGAAGCATTGATAGGTTCCCTTTTGCATGCACACCACAACGAGGGACCAGCCCGCAACCCAAGCATGTGCCCTGATTGGGAATCAAACTGGTGACCTTTCATCTTACGTATTGATGCCCAGTCAACTGAACCACACCAGTCAGGTTGTTTTTCTGTATTAAAACAGTGTATGTGTGGTGAAAGTAAGCTGATGTTATTTTGTGTCATTGTACTAATAGAAAATAATAAAAAATCTTCCTTAGATTTCACACACACAAAAATAGTAATGAACTCATGAACTAATATTTAAAAAGTCTCCAGCTGCTCCAATTGTTTAAAGTATGTAGAATCTTCTAAAATGAAGCTCAGTTTCTTGTGTTGTGCAGATTATAGATGCAGAACATTTAGTACCTGGTTGGTAAATGGGTCTTTTAAAAAAATGTGTCATAGCAGAACCTGGGATAAGAAATTTTGCAGTGTAATTAACATTGTAATGTTGAGCAGGTCACAGCACTGTCACTTGAATTTCTCATCTCTAAAATAATAACAGCTGCTTGCCTATTTAAGAATATAACTAAAGAACGTGAGTTTAATGCACTGTTATTCTCATTACAATTAATTGTAATAAATAAAATCTACCATAGCTTGAATCACTTACTAGTTTTCTAATTGTCTTCATCACATAAATCTTTCATGTCATCTGAGACTGGATGTTGGGGAGAATAATCTGAAATACTGTTGATTACATTGATTTATCACTGAGTGATTTAAACCGGAGGCTACATTGTATAGTAGGTTGGTGTTTTGTCTCCTTCTCTTTGGAGTGTTAGCCATTTTCCTGATACCAGTGATGTAATTGTGGTGTGCTAGACTTTCCTGCAAGTGATTGATCTGCTTCACTGTCTCATATCAATGAACTCTTTCGGCATTTTATTAAATTTAGTGGGCTCCTTGGCATTTTATTAAATTTAGTGGGCTCCTTTTGGCATCGTAGCAGATATAAAAACAAAGAGGACAATGATCACCGTTATCAGGGCATTAAAATAATTGACCCATTATGGTTCCTGTTTTCATTTGTGTTTGAAACTATTATTTTTGTAAGAGTTAGCTGTGTGCATAACTTGAAAGAGACATTATAGCTGATAGGTCATATGTAGTATTTCTATGCTGACAGAATGCTTAATTATTTCTAAAGACAAAAATAAATAATTTGATATCCAAAATCAGGAAAATGTTTTAATCCAGATAATCTTTGGAAGAACATTGTGATTGCTGTTTTATATTCAGAAGTTATCATTCTTTTTATAGTGTGTTTTTTGGTATATAAATGAAAACAATGTACGGTAATTTTATTTAATATAATCAGGAAAATAGATATTCCACAAAAGGGAATTTTCCAGATGAGGGAAACCTGTTTTTTGTTATTTGTAATGAAAAATACCACCACTTACTAAACACCTCATATACACACACACACACACGTATATCTATATATACACACGTATATGTATGTGTACACATATATGTATGTGTACATACACATACATATATGCATACACACATGTATATATACATACACGTGTGTGTGTGCGCGCGCGTGCATGCACAAGCGCAGGATGATCTCTGGGAACTTGACACACATTACCCCATTTAATGTTTATGAAAATCTTACAGGGTAGTATTTATTGTTGAAGAAACCAGGGCTGTACAAGGTCTTCCAGTACTTCGAGTCTGTTTTTCTATGCTTCCAAAGATTATTTTTTTGGGTAATGTTTTCTAAAATAAGTTGTAGTCTAGTCTCCCAGTCTTACATAGTAGAGTATAGTAAGTTTAACTTAACCTTGCAGTGCCTCAGGATTTTCCTTTTTATTATGGTTGTAAAACTGTGATTCCCAACTGTGGCTCCTAGTGGATGTTTGTCCTAGTACTGAATGGCCTGGCTATGCTTTTTTCTGATTCCTGCCATTTTCTTTCCTTTCAGCGTGTTTTTTTGTGTAAGTTTCTGCCTCTAGCCTCTCTCTCATGACTTCCAACCTTCTGGCATAACTAAACTTATTAGGCATGTGAATTAAAATGAAGGGCCATTGGACTTAGTATGAGGACCTATGTGCCCTTCCTACTAAGAAAAATCATGAATTTATCAATATGTCAGCTATTTCTGCACTTCACAGTCCTTTTTTGTTGTTTTCTAGGTTTACAACTTCATTCAAGGTTGAGCTTGAGTAGAAATATGGCCTCTGGCCTTACTGAGTGTAGCATATGTAATTTATTTGTGAAAGTTATACTTACCTGATCTTACATGCTAGTGTTTTCTTAATGTAAAAAGACTTTAAAAAGAGGTCAGATGTGGGTTGGTAATTTCTTTTTAAAAATCAGATAAAATTTTATGAATAAAAATAATTCTGCTTGTAACAGCTGATAACTTTAAAGTTAAATTATTTAGAAGCTTTTTAATTATTAAAGCTACAGACTGTCTATCAGGTGGATTTTTTTTTCCCCAAAAATTACTATGCTGTATTTAATGCTCAATTTTGGTATTAAATTTATATGAAAAATTATTTTTAGTTGGTAAAATATCAAGGTAACAATAGAAGTCAGTCATTGACAGGGATAGATTTTCTCCATTTCAAAAAGTTTAATTTTTTCCTGATTTTTTAAAGTATGTTGAAAAGAAAGAAATCTCCTATTGCTCTTTCCTACTGAACCACTCTCTTGCTACTGATTACCTTCAGAATATCTAATAGGAGGAAAAACAGGTCCCTCTAACAATCAGTAGTATATATGGTGTCTTGCTCAAAGTACCTAAAATGCATACTAAATATTTTGAAAATAGGTCTTAATGCTGTGACTCTCAACTCCTAGTTCATAGATCTTTCACTGGTAACTGCCAAATGCTGATCAGTCAGTGTATATATAAGGAGTATTTTTGACTGTAACAATATATGTTACACGGTGAGGAGGAACCTGGCAACTGAATTTTGAGCTGAGTAGGTTTTGTAATTCAATGTAAAGCAGTTACACATTGGTCAAAAGAAGATCTTATGTGTGAAAACTATAAAGAAATAGACCTCATAGTCTGTAACAGAGGCAAGGCAGAAAACAATTGTCCTCAAATGGTGACCCAAGGCTAATGGCTGGCAGGTGAATAGTGCAGTCCGTGCCCATATAATTTAATAACGTTATAACTCATTGTTATGCTAGAATGGACACTGGGTTACAGTTATCGTTAATATGTTTAGTATCGCTGAGTCTTTAAATCCTTTCACATGCACCATCAAAAATTATTTTTCTCAAACTCATGCTGTAAACAAAAAAGTTGAGGACCACTGATAATATGCATTTTCTTTTTTGAATTAAGCAATATTGGTTATAAAATTTTTGGAGACATTATATTAAATAATAGGAATACAGTATTATACTTAGATTTGCTAATGCCTTTTTTTGGGAATTAAAAGTTAACTTCTACATTATATAGAATTTCAGGAAAAAAGCCAGCAAATTGATATATAACACTGCTGAAGTCTACCAATTACTTTTTAATTGGTATTATAGACCTCATTCTGAAAGC